CCTTCACGAACATGGGTTATGTTTTAATGGCACATTTGTCAGCACTCCAACTGTCAAAGGCACGTAACCACGGAGTCAAAAATAGAATCAATTCCTGCACATGAGCTATGAGGAAAGAAGGATACATTAATAAAAATATCAGTGCTTACCGGCTGTAACAGGAAATGCCAGATAAGCATCTGGGAGTCATAGAGCAAAGGGGAAAAGAATGAATGATGGAGCTCATGTGAGCGGCAACGGGAAAGGGACCCAACCTGGTCTGAGAACCAGAGGCATGGGCGTGGGGGGGAGGTGGGGTAGAGAGAGAGAACGAGAACCCCCTGCTGATTGACATCACACCAAGAGGATTTCCAGGATCCAGAAAAGCACCAAAGACAGACACTGGCCTTCAGCAACTGCCAGAGGACCTACAGTAACGACCCCTGGGCTCTTCTCCCAGGAACTAAAAGGAAAACACCTTCACCTGAGCATTTTTGTGTCCATTCTCCAGACGCTTATCCTCCAAGAGGCATGCGGTGACATGGGTCAGTGGTAGGAACACAACAGAAGCACTAGGGAGACCAGCTATCTCCACCTGGGCAAGGTAAGGAAGCCTTCCTCCCAAGAGGCAGCATTTAAGCTGGACTTTAGAGGAGTGGAAGTCTGCAAGGTGAATAAACATCTATTTTTGGCAAAAAAAATAAATAAAAAGGCAGTTCTGTATCAGTCACTAAATACATAGGAAGGGACGGCAGTGGGATATGAGGTCAAAGGAAAAAACTGCCTTAGAAACACATTCTTAAAACACACGGCGTGCACACGCACACGCACACACACACACACAGACACACACGGCCCTTCCAGAGTGAGCCTTAGGAACAGCTCTGAGGTGATTTCTAGATTAAAACCTATTATCAAAACATGTTTCCCTTGGAATTCCTCTAACAGGGAAGATGTACACAAACAGATTTAATAGGATTAAAATATCAATTGATACCAAGCACTTTAAAGTATACCAATGTATGTGTGTGTATACATTTATGTCTAGAGATATACATTATGTATAAATATATGTATATACACATTATATATACATATGTGTATTATACATGTACACCATGTATAAGTGCATGTGTGTATACAATGTATATGTATATGTGCAGATAGATGTACACACACATAAAAATCACAGGTATCTGATTTCTCTTATTTTAATGAGAATAAACATGCTGGATGCCAAAAGTGAGATAAACAGGCCCACAGGATTAAGAAATGGGAATAAAAAAGGAAATTAAAAAAAACTTTCCTTAATATAATTTTGCTAACTTTGATTGAGCTTAACATAAAAAAAACAGTTTAAAAAAAGGCGTACAGGGCCCTGAGTGGATAATTTGAGAAGGAAAAGGGTCAGTGCAGCCAAACCACGGTGGAAGCCACAAGCTGCTCCCTGGCAAACATCTTTGGAACTTAAACCTGACGGCAACACTCCTCACTGGCACGAGTCAGTGTAATTAGCAAGCTAGTCACAATTCTATTAAAATGTGCTTTACCTGGGTGAGGTGTTTTTGTTTAAAGGAAATAAAGCAAAGTCAATTCACCAAATACTACAACACATTCAGCTGCTGAGAGGTAGGGACGGAGCGCGTGCGTTCCAGGGACCTGGGGCTTGAAGAGCCTCCCACACACTCTCCTGAGACAGGCGCCCACACACCCTGCTCTGCATTCTGCCCACGACGGGGAGCCCACGGGTGCCTCCCCGAGTGTCGCCCACCTCCTCTCACAGAAGGGCATCGACAGGTACCGGCGGACTACAAACAGAGCAGAAGGGAAAACCAGTGTTATAAAACCGGAGATCTTGCTGATATTCCAATTCCTGAATTGCCACGCGTGTCTCCCTTTAGCGTGTAAGACCTGCCTGATCAGTGAAACATCTTATGACTTGAGCCTCGTCCTCCCCACCAAAAAAGACAGATTATGTTGCCCATACCCTGGTGTGATCTTAAGATCTGTTACCAGAGAACTGAAAAAGAAAGAAGTCAAGTAAGGAAAAAGCAATTCTTTGTCAGAGGAAAAAAAGGCCCCACGGAAGATAAACGTGACATTAACATGATCCAAGAATGGATTTGCAATCTAACGAACACGGTCCCCACACTCTGGGGGTCACGTGGAGGAGACAGGGAAAGGCTGCGAAGTCAAGATAAAAATGAGGATATGCTCTAAGAAGTCCAGCTCCTACAGACCTGTACATGGTCATTCTATGTCACCTTATCCCAAGTGAATGAATATGTTAGGATTCTTCTTTTTTGTATTTCAACTTTATGTAGCTAGGTGATCCCTCCTACTATCTTTGAGGACCCTGGTAAGCCTGAAGACCCCAAGCTGAGAAAAGCTGACCCACCACAAGAAATAAGCAGAGCTGTTCAAACATAATCATACCTATTTCTTTTCTTACCATGTATTTCAGGGTAAGAAATATACTTACTAGAAGAGAATGCCTGATACTAAAAAAAGAAAGGTTAAGAAATCTAAAGGCAATTAATGTCCACTCACAAATGCCAATAATCTTCGATAATTATGGAAAAGTTAGTAACTACTTTTATCAGTCTACCTGTCTACCCACCTGCTACGTACTTACTTTATTTGTCCATATTAAATCAAGTACACAGAGTTCTGGGACTGGTAGGGATCTATTCCAAGGCTTGTGACCAAGAATACCATTGAGACTTCATGAGGTTTTAAAGAGAAAATACATTCTAAAACTTTTATACTTTGAATCTCCCTTCAGTCGTATTTTTCATCATTTGTACCAAATTTTGTGGCATGTCACTTAAACATTGCAGGAAGCAAGCCAAAAAATAAATCTTAGAGTAGTCTTTTCCCTGAAACAAATCCCAAGAAATACTTACTCAACAGAGTCCTTGGCATAGGTCCAAGTTAGATTCTCAGTTTCATCTGAGAGACTTACACTATGCAGAAGCCTTCAGATTTTTTCTGTGTTTTGGTTTAACAGCCAGCTTTTACCACTTGATTTCTGTGCTCACAGTCTTCACCACCCGCAGAACAGAAGTGGCTAAAATGCGCTAACGAGTCCCAGGCCCCACGGCCTGCAGCCTCTGCTCACTGCCAAAACCCCAAACCACAGTGCTGTCCCGGACTTCTTCCCAGGCCTCTCTTGGAACCAATGGAAAAATGTCCAAAAATGCCTTTTCTCAGAACAGGCGAGAAACGAACATAAAATCACAGCTGCTGCTATGAGAATCACAGAAACCCTATTCCCCCACTCCTTAGTGTTTATGAACAGATCTGCTTTTTGTAATGATTAATGGATCCAAAAAGCCCACAACTGTCCTAGAGGTGTACATGAAAGAACTTAACACTTCCGTAACCTAAACAAACGTTCTTGTGGAAGTGAGAATTCTCTAACCATCTCAGTACATCTGACACCTTACATACCTTTCCTACTCTCCATGGAGACACACTGACCACGAGATCATTTTGTATGCAAAGTAATTGACTAGTGGGTATCTGTCAGGCATGGGGATTTGTCAAATCCAATTCTCTACAGCAAAGCTTAGGAAATGAGGAACTTTAATCAGCTCAGAAATACACATCATTTCGCACCTTGTGCAAAATAGGAGCCCTCACCTTCCTCAAATATAAGACCTCCTAAAATGCAGTTTTTATTATCCAAGGTTTCCAATAGAGCCTATCAATCATTATTTTGTCTATTTCTAATGTCTGAAATAAAACACAGTTGTTCACACACTTTCCTAAAAGTTTAATAAAATCTGGTATGACGAGTTCAGATGAAAAGAATGCACCTACAGTGCTTTGGTATTTATTAGCAATATTAACATAATAAATTCTCACTTTCATTTATTGTAATCAGTAGCAATATGTACTGGTCTCAGACTAGGCACTAGAGATAATGTGACCAAAAGGACCTTACACCCTTACAGCACCCGAATAACCACCGAATCACAAGTCAGCAAGCAGCAAGTGCATTGAAAGGTAGGTTAATGGTTAAATAAAATTTCAACTCAAAGGGCAACACTAGTTCAAATACAATGTGAGATTTTAAGTTGGCTAACTTAAAGATGGCTAAAGTTAGAATACCAAGAGTTTTCATCACAATCTTATTAGACATGAAAAATTCATTACATAAAAGTCTATAATGATCTATTCCTTCTATCCACACATTAAGCTTATTAACTGTAGTTTGCATTCCAAGACACACAACCCTAGTGTTGAGAATACTAAGAAGTCTGCAATCATAAAAGAGGATCAAGAAAACGTATCAATATATTGAGAATCAAGTTCCTCTACCTATCTATAATTTGGCCTAAAACTCACACTGATAACTTGGCAAAAGTATCCCTTTTGCAGGAAGAGGCAAGTGTGGTACCCAAGATTTCATGGAAGAGCAGAGGTTCAAAACAACATATGACAGTTAATATTATTTTATACCCTGGAGTTAATGCTATAAAAGTCAAAGAATTAAAAAAAAAGTTAATAAAGCCAGTTTCTTACTCAAACCTCACAAAAGTATTAATTCTGTGAAACTATTACATTTCTAACTACACTTTTCAGCATCCTCAGAGATTCAATATACTGATAACATCTTTTTTAATTCTGCATATCTGGTCACCCTGCAGATATCTTAGTACTGGAAGCTGAGAACAGTGAGATTTGTGGATGCTTTTTGCTGTCACTGTGCCAAAATATTTACACTTGAACAAATAGCTGTTGAGAACTTGGGATTCACACCCACACGGCAGTTCTGAAATGAACCGAGTGATACCGCTTTGTGATTCTGCCCTTGGGGGCCCCTGCTGAGGAAACCACATGTATAAACAAGTTAACAGAGAAGCAATAATGGATTCTGCTGCTAATTCAATAAGTCAATTACCTCATTATGAAATCCACTGTTTGCTATTACATTTAGGTTCCAGGATATTTAAGAGTCAGTCAATCCCAAGTAGGTAAGAAAAGAAAGAAGTATACATACTCATTAAGATTACCTTTGCTCCAAAGATGAAGAAAACTCCTGTCCAAAGGCTGATTCAAAATCACAAGGCAGAATTTCAAATTTCCTATGGAGAAAAGGAAGGGAAATGCAAAGTCAACTGAGTTTCCTTGTTTAGTCTATAATCATATTCTATTAGTCCAGATTTTCAATCTACATAGAGCTACATTCCAACTGCGGTTAATCTCTCATATTCTCATTTTTCAATTCATACCTTAATTTTAAAAGACACCATAGATTATATACTTTAGTCAATATGTCCATCACATCAATATATTTATTGTTAGAAAGATTATTGTAAAAAAAGGAATTTATCATAAAAACAATTGGGTAAATTTTGTTTCTTGTAGTTTACAGTGCCTAGCAAAAGTAAAATGGCAGATTTTGACATAAACAAATCTTCACAAAATGGCTGAGTAGTTTTAAAATATTCTTCTATACATACTGAAGATAATACAAATTCTATCAAAGCATGATTATACAAGAAAATGGCAGAACTGATCATCTGTATCTCCTACAGGTGGCTCTTAACAAGCTTCAGATACAATCTAGCCAGTGTTGACAAGAGTTTAGTGGAGGGAGGGAGGGAGGGAGGGAGGGAGGGAGGGAGGGAGGGAGGGAAGTTTAGTGGAGGGAGGGAGGGAGGGAGGGAGGGAGGGAGGGAGGATGGTAAAATGGTGTGAACTCTGGGTTTATAACAATCATTGCAGATGATAAATCTACCCTTAAGTACACAGAGTAGTGGATCTCAACCTCACTGTACATCAGTCACAGATTCAAAAAAAAAAAAAAGACAACCCCAAAGCAAACCTGCTTCCCTAGAGATTCTGATTAATGTTCCTGAATTAGGCCTGTGCATTATAATTTTTAAAAAGCATCCTGAGAGCACTAATGGGTACCCAAATTTGAGAACCTGGTATGGTACCTTAAAAGATTAGCTAATGATTGTGCAAAGCTATCACAAATAGCAACATTATTTTAAAATACTATTCAACTTTATCTTCCCTTTTAAATTAGTTTTGTGAAGAAAAAAAAAGTATAGAACACCATAAAAATTACTTGTAATTTTTTATAAATGAACATAAATGGTTTACTTTCTTTTTTAACTGATATGGTATAAGATTTAAAAAATGATTAAAGACCAGTACTCTCAGTGAAAATACATTGAAATAAAGCACAATTTACAACAGAAAAAATTTACTGAAAGGCATTAGCAAGTTATCAAGAGTTTATGGTCTCTGTTTAAAAAAATAGTGGAATTCAGATAAAATCAATATTAGCCAAAACACATATCAGTCATTATATATAAAATACCTGTTTTGTTAGAGAACCAAAACCATTATTATGAATCTCTCACCCCTGAAAGTATTTCAATTAAATAATGAAAACTCTAGGGCATGGAGGTTCACTTTCATATTACACGGCTTCTATATATAAGAGGATATTTTTAAGTGTACACTGGGAAGTCAAAACTGCCAAGTCAATTTGTCCTTTGAGGGAATAAATTGCATATGGACAAAGCAAAGCTATTAAAAAGCTCTGAGCAAATATCCTATACCAAAGTCTATTAAAAAATAATCGAATTACCGATAGACTAAGAATTGGAAAGTCATAGAAAAAAATGCTTCTGAAAAAGTAAACACAGACACAGGTATTTCTCTGCATAGGTACTTCTCTGCAACCTCCCCTGCCCCCACCCATGCCCACCACCCAGAGTAACCATCTGAAACAGCCCAGTGACACACCCCTGGTTTAGATGGCCAATCAGATGGTCCCTCTGCCCTACATCATCTTCAGACCCCATTTCTCTGTTTCAACCCTCAGCAAAATCCACTTCAGTGAGGTTTTCACCCCCCCCAACCACTTCCTGGAATGCCTACAGTCAAGGTCACTGATGGTCTCTGTTCTAGAAGTCAACGGCTCTATCTCAGTGCCCACCTTGGCCAAAACAACTCAGGAGCCTAACAGAGCAGGTCGCCTCCTCCTTCTTCAATCATGTTCTTCCCTCGACTTCCTGGAAACCCCGCTCCGCTGCCTCTCTTCCTATCTGACTGGCCACTGCTTCTCAGCCTCCGTTCCCACCTTCCGCTCATCTGAGCAGAGAGCCCTCAATGCACAGTTGTGAGTAAAGGCTGAGCATCCCCAGCCTCCAAACCAGGAGTGTGCCTGGTGCCTTTCCTTGGGCTTTTTCTGTATCACTCTATATGGACTCCCCAGTAATGCTCTGTAGACTCCTGGCTTCTAATAATATCCATGATGAAAACACCCCATATTCATGTCTCTGACCTGAGGCTTTTGTCCTAAACTCCAGAACTACACAGGTTTACTCGCTTATTCAACAACTCCTCTTTAATACGGAAAATGCATCTCAAACTTAACATGCCCACAGTAAAATACCTGACTCTATTTCTCTCATCAAATCTGCTCCTTCCAGCCTTGGCCACCTGCCACCAACACCACCACCGATAACCCATCCACGAGGACAATTCTCCTTCTCTAGAGTTTCCCACACGGCCCTCTAATCAGACTTACTTCCACATCTGCCTCCCCTAAAATCTGTCCTCCACACAGCAGCCAAATGGATCTTGTTAAAATGCAGTCAGATCAAGGTAATTCTCTGTTCAGAACCCTCCACCGGCTTCCCTTCACAGTAACAGCCAAAAATTCCCAACAGATCACCGACAAAGCCCTGCATGATCCCACTGTTCTCTCTCCACCCCACCCTCTCTGTGACGGACACACTGGCTTCCCCGTTGTGCAAATACACCAACAACCAGTGCACCACGTGTGTCTGTGGTATAGAGAGCCCCATACTCAGCGAGCACCCCACTTTCTCTCAGTCTGAACCCACAGGTCTCGGCTCAAACGTCGGTTACCAAAGAGCTTCCTTGCCCAACCGACCTTAAACAGTAACACCGACACACTATGCCAGCACTTACCCTTAACCTGATTTGCTTTTTCTAATGACCTTATAACCAGTTTGCTCATTGACCCCTTTTTCTAATGTCTGTCTCCCTGCACAAAAACAGAAACTGCCGGGTCAAGCACCTACAGCAATGCACCGACCGTACACACAGCAGGCAGTCAATGAATATTTGCAGCTCTTCCAAGTCTGACTTTATGTCCATTCACAATAAATTGACTCCAGCTCTTCTAATAATCAAGTGGCTCCCCCAGTTTTTCTGGGGACAAATGGTTCCATACCCAACACGATTTCTCACGGAAGCAGAACACAGTGGCCTTTTCTCGATTACAGAACGTGTTCCAGGAAGGATGCTAGCAGAGACGAAAACAACAACTGATCATCGTGTGCTAAAACTGCAAGATGGTGTTCTGATCATTATTATTGAAGAAAAATCTAAAGAAACTGGAGATGGTCCACAGAAGTCCAACTATACAAATAGCTCGGAAATATTTTCTTTGAAAACAGATTAAGCTTTTTCAAGCTACATTGGTGTCTGCACTAACTACCTACTTAAGAATAAAGAAATCCAAGTAATATGACATTGAGCCCTGGAAACCCAGGAACAGGTTTAGTTATGGTCATTCAACCATTCAGGCAGAAAGTGTAAAGAGATTCTGAAACGTTAAGTCAATTCCCAGGTAAGAGCATTACCTCCCACAATGCAATGGTTAATGAGTCTGTCCAAGTGTGGTAACACTAACATGATATAAACTACGCCTCTAAAAACAAAATGCCCAGTAAATTCCCACAGGCATCCACCTATGCTAGAAATGCATGTGAGTTCAGAAAAAAAAGGACATTTTGTACTTTATAACTAGTAAGCTTCTGTTGTGTAGGAAGTAGAGGGCACAAGTGGGAAGGTTAAGTCTGACAAAGTTTCAAGTCCTTCCTGGCATAAAAAGAGAAGACTACACCAAGAAACATTTTCTTCACCTCTGCAAAGGTCAGCCACATTCTCGTTCCCAATAAACACATTCTCACTAAAACCCAAATGAAGGGAGCCGAGTGCTTCGTCTCGGCTCACTGACACCGTGTGAGCTGCCAGCTGAGCTCAGAGTGGCCGTCTGCTGTCAGGGGTGACCAGGACCACAGTAAACCGTGTTTCCCGTCAGTCAGGAAAAATCAGTCCCTGCCCAGCACACTGCAGATGTAATGTCACAACCCTAAGGGTTCATCATAAAGGACTAAACATTACAGCCTGTCACATCAGTCTGGACGTGTTGACAGCTAAGGCCCACGATAATATTCACACTTGAAAGGTCGATTTAAAATGCTTTCCGCAGGCAGACTGCATCAAGGGTGGGCAAGTGCTTCTAGAACAAAACAGAGGCCCTCCCTTCCGACCCCCCCCCCTCCCCGGGAACAGAAGGAGGGCCACCAGGCCCGCAAACTCTCCCTCTTCCACACCTTCCCCAGCCCTCGGGCGAGCTCTGGCTGGGTACGGGGAAGCGGGCTGGAGGCGAGTGCGTTGTGAAGGTTCAGGGCTTCACACGTGACTGCTCTGTGGCTGAAGAATGACAATATGGGTAACTTTTCTTCTTTTTCGATATTCCTTAAACCCGATTTTGATTCAAGGGTCAAACCAGTATTTATAATCAGAATACGTCCAAATTAGGCTAAACTGGGACATACTCAAAGCACAGACTGATGTTCTCTGAGACCTACAATTCGTAAGAAGAAAGCAACTAACATGTACTTGGATTTTCAGTTCACAAAGCAGTTCACCAGCCTTCCTAAACTGACACTCATTATGTAGCATCTCAGCATGGGGTCTAAGGACCTCTGAATCAAATCGAAGTCTTTCTGTTCACTTTTCTAAAAAGAAGACAGTGCATAGATAAATTCAAAATAACTGTGCACTGCGAACTCTGACTGCACACACAACTGTGTATCCCATCATATCAAGAGTCAGTTTTAGGAAATCTCACTAAACTCAGGGGAGGTGAAGACTCTTATCTCATGGACACTGGGGGCTTTAGAGGATTCCAGGGGAACCCCTGCCACCCGCAGGCAGAGTTCTGGCACCAGCCCCCCCCCATCGACACACAGCACACCGGTGGCCCTTACTCAGGCCCGGGTCCAGGTGAAGTAAGTAGACCTGC